AGACAAGACAGCCTGTAGTGACCAGTTATAGCCTAGTAGCCGTCGGCAGTCTATCACAGCCTAACCTCAGGTTAAGATAACCCAGTATTCGGACCAAAAACCTTTGGTATACTGGACAATAATTTGAACGATCAGTCAGTAAACTACGGGTCCGCTGTCTTGTCGGCTGCGCTCGGGAATTGTTACCGGCACAAATGACTCGTATGCTGGCCTATGCAGGACATGGTTGTTGGAACGCCCGCCAATTTCAAATAGGTGGCCTTGCGATAAATATCAGGAAGGGTTAGATATTCTTGGGTCCTACCTCTAACATCAACTTAAACTGTAATCTTAATTTTAAATTTAGCCCTACCCTAAAACTAAATCCCACAATTAGCATGAACCCAAAGCTTAGCTCTTAACATAATCATGACCCTAACCATAACCTTGCCGTTACCTTAATCTTAAACCTAATTTCTCGGGAATTTGTCGCAAAGCCACATGCATTGCGGATTAAGTTTTGGGATCATGTTAATTGAAGGATTAGGGTTTAGGGTAGAGCTAATGTTAAGATGAAGTTTAGAGTGTAGGTTTTTGTTTGTAAGGATTAATGTTATGGTGAAGAAAGGGGAGTATTTACCCTTCCTGCAGTTTATTTCAAGGTCACATATTGTAAGCGGTCGTGGCTTCCCTATTCTTGTGTCCTGTTCAGGCGGCTATACCACTCTATACCAGGCTATACCAGTCATCTGTACCGAATATTAATTTTCTAAATGAATAAAATAGTGACAAGCATCACTTCTAAGAACTCTTCTGCAAATTTTTCCACACTTTTTGAATGCCTTATTAATTCTAGGAGTAGTAATGGAGTTGGGTCTTGCATTTTTGTTTAGGACTGCGGTACCGGCTTATGGTCCAGTGTGCGCTCGGTTTGGAGGGGCTCATGTGTGGTCCATAGTAGAGTAACGTTCCATCCTAAGTGCAACACTGATCATAAATCCAATTCCGACGCTATCCTGTACCCTACCCATGGAAGTTCTACCTTGACCCCAAAATTCTTCACGGCAACCTAAACACCATTTAAAGCATAATTTTCCCGGTGGGAACTTGAAAATAGTAATGCAATATTTAATGGATCCATAAAATTTCATGAGTGCTCGTCAGTTGCATCCACTCATTGCGTTAAAGGTTCATGAACGAGAAAATTACGAAATTGAATTTGTACAGAAAGGTCATAGGTCATCGTCACTATGGCTAATTAGTAAAGAAGGAAAGTTAAACAAAGGGGAGGGGGAACAGGGAAATTGGGTTGCGTGAAAAAAGGGGGCAGGGGAACGTGCAAATCTGGAGGCCTTTAGTTACCAAGGCAACGCTAGGTTAACCAAATGCTCCAACTGTTTGCATAGGTCCGGTTTAGAGCGTCATATATAAGCTGCTTCCAGGTAGCGTAAGATTCGAGATGTTCCTGG